TGACACTTTGCTTTACTTCGTAATTTTTTCCCGGAATTTCGTGGCCGAAGGTTTACCCTTAATTCGGTGAATAACCACCCGTAACAAAAAAATTTGCAGTGGCTTAGCTCGGCTATGCCAGGATATACGTAGCGTGAGTTAAGGTTCAGCTGGTTATTCTTAGCTTTCCTGGTTGTCTAGGATCAGCTTGATTATCATGCTTACTGCTGCTTTAATGACACACACACGGTATACGCATTATGTGACACACGTTTATTTTTAGTTTTGCTCAACGTCTGGTTGTTTTTCTATTCCCACAAAGACGGCTCGGTAATCAGTGTAGTAACAAGCTGCCGTCTCTATGGCCCCAACGCAGTATTTGGAATTGATTGTCTGTCTCTGATATACAAGATCAATGGTAGTTCCCCATTGGGTAGACGGCGCCACTAAACTCAACGTTTCACGCATGGCACTACTTACCGGCGTCAAGTCTTTCATGTGCCAGTCTTTCACACACGTCGCACACATATCCAAACAGATTGTTTAGGAAGTCCGTCTCGAAAATACGAGTCGCACTGGCGCTTTCGCTAAGTTTCACCGTATAGTCATGCAGTCAATCGGCGAGCCTTGACGTCATCGACGGCGTCTTGTTGTTGCTGCTGCTGAGATGGTAGGGCACGTCGCTCAGCCTCCTGGCGACGCCGCTTTGCTAAACGTTCCTTTCTTTGCTCCGATGTCTCCGCAGCACGTTTAGCCTTCTGTTCGGTCTTTCTACGCTCAACCGCTAATTGCCGGGCATCTACTTCGGGATCCGAGTTAAGCTTCGCCGCTCTTCTGCGCCGCTGAGGAGAAAATTTCCTCTCCTTCTCTATGGCTATAGCTCTGATTCTCTCGGCCAGGGGGAGCTGTAGCGTTCACGAGACGCGACCACAAAAGAAGCGCTTCCGATAGCGTCCGCGACACGAGACCATTTAATGGTGACGTGAAGCGGCGTCTAGCGTTCCATTATGTACAGTCGGGAGCAAAAGTTTGCGGGGCACCGGAGCGCGTGCCGAAATGCATCGCCGCGCCGTCCGACGGCGCGCCGCCGCATAAAGGAGATGCGCTTTGCGCATGCGCGGCTTTCGTGCTCGCAATCATGTCTGTTTCGCTCGTTTTTTTTCGACGCACTCCTGATAACAGGAGTCGGCGCCAGGGGCGCGAGTTAGCGCTTCGCTGATTGTCATGCTGTGCGTCTGCTTCAGCCGCCTCAGCCACCGTGCTTTGTCATGGAGGTCGCGTAGGGGGAAGAGGGGGGGAGGGGGGGGGGGGTTAACCAGGCGCTCCGTCACCCAGCGCGGCTGCTGAGGCAGCTGAAGAGGACGCGAGGCATGACCATAGAGTTATTATAATGTACGCTAGAGGTTCAACTGGCGCTAGTGTGCTGCTGCAAATTGAAGCAGACAGCAACCAGTCCGAAATTGACTTCCGGTAATGCATTTCTATGGGAAAAAGCGAGTGCATTTTCTCTCTGCGCTCGATTATAAGAGCAAATACCACACACAATTCGTACGTACTGGGCACATTCGAACATTTCCCAGTTACGCAGACGAAATAATTGGTCAGTTACTGTATTTTTATTTGGAATTTGTGGCATGAAAAACGGTGCTTAAACCGCTTCGTACGTGTATTTATGTGCACTGTCGGACACTGTTAGCGCGAACACGGCGTCGGCGTTTTCAGTATGGGGGATATACGTGCCAAACGAACGAAGGACATGTGGAAAGCCAAAAGAGACGGCAAGAACTACGCAGTACCACTGGATAAGTACCTCCTGTGAATGCAGACGATCAAAATAAATTGAAAGCCACGTAATATAGTCAGATCTGCAATAAATGAATACTGCTTTATTCTTTCTGCTCATGATGTGTGTGCAAAGATGCTTGTTCTGGGTTCAGATCATCATCCGCACGCTCCAAATCTTTGCAAATAGGGAGAAGCCAGAGAACAGGTGCCCGATTAAAACTGTCCGACATAGGAAATAATGAAAAGACACACCTTTCGTAGCCCACATACTTTTTTTTTTTTTTTTTTAACAGATCGTGAAGATGCACGACGGAGTCATTTTCATATAGTGACAGAACGGGCATATTAGCTATGTATAAGCGCCACCGGAATGCTAGCGAACCTTGAACGGACTCTGCATTCCTTTCGATCTTTATTTTGCTTAGAATCGTCGCTCATTTTTACGTACCTGCCTTGGAACGGAGGTTTGGGCCTGAAATATAGCGAAGTTGAACATCGTTCATTGGTAAAGAAAAATGCTGTAACTAAATCAATTAGACTTTCACAATGTCAATAAAGGTACATACTATTCGGTACAACCGATATAACAAAAGTTATTCGCGTTATTTTCCGGCGAAGAGACAAAATTCATGCGCGTTTTCCCATAGGAATACACAGGAGCACCGCAAAAGTTGACTGGTTGCTGTCTGCTTCAATTTGCCTCCCGGAAGTCGCATAGACACTAGCGCCAGTTGAACCTCTAGCGTACATTATAATAACTCTATGGGCATGACAGCCAGCGAAACGGCAACTTGCGCCCCTGGCGCCGACTCCGGTTATCAGGAGTGAGTCGGACAGAAACGAGCGAAAGAGACCTGTCTGCCAGCACGAATGGCGCGCATGCGCAAAACGCGGCTTAGTAATGCGGCGGAGCGCCGTTGCACGGCGCGGCAATGCATTTCGGCACGCGCTCCCGTGCCCCGCAAACTTTTGCTCCCGACTGTACACTCCACGGGCGTAAACTAGAGTCTGTATAGCTTCCCTCGGCGTCTGCTCGCGTCTGTCGCGGCAAACGCCGAAGCGCGCGGTGGCGAGGCGTCTGCAGCGACCGGCGAGGCCGGCGAGGCGCGCTGTGGCGGCTCCGGCGCGTTAGCTGTGCGCCGTGTGACGTCACTGCTCCTCGCGCTTGCGCCGACCGGCGAGGCGCGCGCAATGGCGGCCGAGCCCGCGGAGCCCGTGTGACATCACTGCTCCTCGCTCTTGCGCAGCACGGGGCACGGCTCATTATGCGAGCCACGCGAAACTGCTCAACCTCGGCCAGTGTAGCTCACGCTGCAAAACAGAGCTACGTGGAGCTAAGCCACGATGGGAACACAGAGGGGAAAGGGCAGGGGCAGGGGTGCAGGCATTGTTCAGTAGGCCTTGAGCCAAACGCACGGGGGTTCAGCATACTGTCCAGCACCTCCTGGAAAATGTCAGCGGGTGCTCAAGCCGCCAATGCCCCCCCCCCCCCCCCCCCCCCCCCCCCCCACCCCGTTTCCGGGGTCCTGAGTGTTACGCTACAATTCACTTTTGAACCTTTTTTAGTACTTATTGTAAATGAACCCTACTCTGACCGGAGCGTTATTCCTGAAAAAAAAAGACTGCATTTCTTTTGCACCTTATTTATTCGTATCGCAAAGGTTAATAAATAATATGATCCAGTATCAAAGAGGAAACCTCGATCACTATCAGAATTGAAACCATTTAGAAATGCATTCCATTTTTATCTTCGAGGTACATGCTAACAGATGTTGGCATCTGCTCCAAAAGCGTCAGTGGCTGCTACAGGACTAGCTACAAAAAGTCAAATGCCGCTTTCATCACTGCGATTGGTTCTGCGATCACGTAGGTCTAGCTGCATTGTCAGCTTAGGGGTGTACGGTGTATAGGCACAGCTCTGGCAAGTTATGCCATTCCGTTCGGGTGGCTAGCACTCTATCGTTGCGCTGGAATCTGGCATGTCCGGTTCTTTACCCAATTAATTTATACCCGAGGAACGACCGTGCTCGGATATTACGGACGTGCGTAAGGGGGCGTAGAAACGGCAAACGCGCGAGCCACAGCCAACCAGACTGCGTATCTGTCGTTAGTCCGCGACCATTTCACCGACATGCTCAACGTTCCGACGATTATAACCAGACAACGATATTAGGTCGAATGTGACATACATTGAGGACTTTGGAACAGTGGTAGTGCTACCCCTAAACACACCAGCCCTCCCTCCCTCCCCCCAATCGCACACAAACAGCATATACAACCCACCTACTTTATGCATATGGCAGCCTAACAGATTCTGTGCCTAATCGTTTGTCAGCATGATAGAGCTAGCGTAAAATTGTTTACAAGATCATCTCGAAATTTTGGGCGGGCACTGGCTCGCTCTTTAGTGCCATTACCTCGGACCTTCCACTTAGAGGCTGGTTCACACACTAGCGACTGCTTACGACCGACAGACGACCTTTCGCGATATCTGGCGACCAGAAAATACACTAGCGCGCTGGCGCCGTCTATGAGGTGACCCAGCAACTGCATTTTACGAGATCGAAGTTTTTGCAGTATTTGCAAGATCAAACACTTGTACTAAGAGAAATGGTTGTTTTTAAAATTGTTTTCTCAAACTAATAGTTAAAGAATAATGCACAAAAAAAGTAAATATACGAAAATCGCGAGTGATTCGTGGCTATTCGTAGCATTGTGTTGCCTGGTCGTAAGGGATGGCAAAGGTTTTCATTGCACTGGGTTGCAAGAAGTGGCTAGTGTATGGACGAGCCTTGACACTGCGGTCCAACTTAATGTACAAAAGACAGTCTGCAGTAGACGGTGTCTTCTTCCTTGTATAACGGTGCAGACACGATACACGTGAGGCGTGTCCGCAGGTAATTTTGCCCTCGCGTTTGTAGCGAACACAATGACTTTTTTACCATGTACGAGCAACGTGGCTGCGCCTTAAAGGCCGACCTAGAGAATAAGAATAGTCTTCTGCCGAGAAGACCGATTCCCAGTTTCCTTCTCTCCATTCTCCCTCGCACAGGTTTCTTCTCTACCCACAGGAGCGGGTGTCTGAACTGCTCCCCGCAGAAGGGAGGAGGGCCTCCTCCTCCTCATGTGTAAAGAAGGACTAGAGTTTCCCCCTTTCTGGCCGTTGGTCAGCCTTCAAGGCGCTACCGCGCACAGACCCCAAAATCGGACAGGACCCGGCGCTGAACGCCACGCACCTCGGAGAGGCCGTAATCGGGGGAAAGCTGCTTGGCCTTCTTGCGGAGCCTGGAGGGCTTGACCAGGGTGACGTCCCCCCGGAACTTGGCCGTGGGGGCGTATCCGCTGCCGGCCTTGAGAAGGTCGTAGAAGGCGCTCGTGGCCAGGGCCACGTCCTCCCGGCTGGGGTGCAAGTCGGGGATGCCCGCCAGCAGCAGGTCCGTGGCCGCCTCCTGCTTCGCCTCCCACGTCGAGTACTGCACCACCTGCCGCTTCACCTGCGAACCCACGTCGGACACGCTCGGCACGTCGCACGGAACGCCCCTCTCCCCGAGACCTCTCGCTACCGTGCCCGGAATGCGTCTCCGACCAGTGCGCGTTCGCCGCATCCAACGAAGCAGTCTCTCGATTTCCGCCCGAGGACGTCCTAAAAGTGTCCCGCTGTCGCCGGCCACAATCCTGGCAGTGTCACGGCAGCGGAGGTGGAGGAGGCAGCCTCCCGTTCCGCCTCAGGTCTTTGTTCAGCTTGAAAGTATATGAAAGCGTCGGCAGCCGGGAGTTGTGATAGAGTGACGACGGCGATGCTCACAGACTCGTGCTTTATGAAAGAACTCCTACGGCCAACTTCCAGCATCGCGACATCCGGCAGCGCGACACTACAGCCTTTGCGACGTCACTTACTGCCGCTTAGGGAACCACTTTTGATGCATGGGCAGAATAGGACGCTAAACACACTAGTCGCAGACGCATTCCAGGCACCATATTTTCGCCGACTTGCGCTCTGTACGAACACAATGTTTTGTGAAAGACGGAACAGGAATCGACTCGTAGGGTCTCGCAAAAGTGCACTCTGGAAGCTCCCAATCTTTCTTCTGTCCCATGATTAACACGGTTAACAACGAAAGCACACACAGACGACCATAGACACTTCCTCCTCATCCGGCAGCCCCACTCTCCCCCAAAGGTTCACCTCCCGTCGTTTGGTGTGCCAGGCTTGTGGAGTGGACTGTGCACTCCGATGTACCGAGGCGCCCCGTCGAGGAGCACCAGGCTGCCCACGAGGGCCCCCGCCCCCTGCAGCTGCACCGCCATCTCGAAGGCCACTGTGGCCCCGAACGAGTAGCCCATCATGTGGTACGGCCCCTGGGGCTGCTCCTCCACTAGCCGCTGCACAAAGGGAGAGGGACACGTAAGACCACGGAGCCGGGACTACAACAGACTCGTTATTTCAAGCTCCAGGAAGCCAAGAATTTTGTTTGAATTATCGAAAGCTCTAATTATCAAAAATCCATCTAAATATGATGCGAGAAAAACCTATGATTTGCCACGTGAATGGCTACACATGCAAAGCAGATACTTAATGATTTCCCATACATAGGCCTGCTTGTCATAAGCAGGTGCGCACACATTAAACATTTGTGAAATGTTCGACATAACTTTATTGATCCCTCAAAGATGTTGTTTTCGTGGACTATTTAGACAGCACACCACTGAAAACAAAAATAGGTTTGTTCATTGGTTCATGAAATGGGCACCGTGCGAGTTTTCATAGCAACTTGCATGGACGTTGCGACGTGGACCTATGCCATGCCGCCGCGTCACAGCGTCCGCGCAAGTTGCTGTGGAAATTTCCGCGTGGTTCCCGTTCTCCACTTGAACCCCCTTGAGTGCACTACTCGCCAGGCACCGATGTTCTGCGGAGACGCTACACGCGCGGAAGCAAGCTCCGCGTGTGTTGCCGCTCTGCAGGGCCACGGAAACAAAAAGGATTAATTACACGAAAACGGTGTTTGAATTAGGCGGCTTGTGAATTCATGAAAAACATAGCGGGATAACCAATATATATTGAAGCATTTGTCTGCTTTCAAACTCTTTAATTACAGGACAGAACGTCCGCCATCTTCTATCGTTCTTGCCCCAACCTCCGCGCGCTCTTTCTGTCGCGTTGCTAGCTCGTCTTCTTCCCCGCTACAGTATTTTTTTAAAATTTGTTTGAATTAACCAAAAATATGAAATATCCGAGTTTAAAGGGGTACTCCGGCCGTTTTTTAGGCTACTCAAACAAATTGCATTTTCTGACTACCCGGACTTTAGTCTTCACGTTATGCTATTTATTTTTTAGCAATTCAAAATAGCAGTTGAGATAACTGTAAATGAAGATGTCGCCAAAACAAGCATTAAAATTTTCGCGGGCTCTCCAGTGATGTAGGTTTAGAAAGAGTTATATACGTAAAAACAGGGGACGGTTTTTACGTATATAACTCTTTCTAAACCTACATCATTACCAACGCGCTCACTAAGAAGTTCTCCAGTGATATGGCGCCACAAATGGTACAGACCTTCACGTCGTGCATGTAGCCTTAAACAGAGTATGTCGACTGTTTTTTGCGTGCTTTCTCAGTGAATCAGCTACCAAACATTCTTTTCCCACCATCAAACGTCTTGCAATCAATTTTGAACATGGCTTACTGCCCACTTTGTACCATTTCTGTCGTCACACTTTATTGTTGCCAGTGGGACTCCTGGTTTGAGAAAGACGATGAAAACGAAGTTTGAAAATTTAGTAACTTCGTGAGTTATTTTTTTTTTCCACACAATACTTGGGGAACTGGTACAGTTGTGTCTCTCAGTGTGATGAGCAAATTTTGAGGCGAATCTGCGACCATGAGAAGATCACCTGAGTACCTATAACTATCGCGAGGCTTCAGGACGGCCCTCTGGCGGCAAAGCTGGAAGGAGTCGTAGAACTAACCTATTTTTTGCGCAAATAGTACCCAAGTTTACTTGAATAAAATGCCACTGATCAAGGAGCTTAACGATGCTTTGCATTAGTACCCACAAGACGAAAAAACTGACGGCGTCCGTCTTTGGACAAAGCAGTTGAAAGGGAAGCGCGCCGCGTAGAGAGGAGGCGAGTAGTGAAGGACAGACGCGAGAGAGAAGCGATGTAACAGGGCGGAAGCCAATGCGCACGGGTGCTGGGGAAATTGAACTTGCAGGCGCGCGGAGCGCGTATGCTTTGTTTTATGGTACCAAATAGTGTGTGAACCAGGTACTAGCGCTGGTCCAGGTAGTCGGCAAAAAAAGTAAAGGAAGATCCATCGGTGGATCTTTAGGGAATTCGTTAGGATGACCCTTGGTAAACGATGACACTGACCACGTAACGAAGTAAAAAGGAGGCAGAGAAAGTTAAGGAAGCAAAACAGAAAGTCAAAAGAAAAAAGTGAAGGGGTCAGCGTTTGCCTTCCGCAAAGGGGGACATGAGTGGCATATCCCAACAGTCACGATAACGCACTTTATACCCCACTTATACCCTTGTTACACGGGCAGACTTAACTGCAGTTAGGCTAAGCCGCAGTTAGCGCACAATACTTGCCGACAACATTCTGCGGCTATGCAGTCAAAGCTATGGGCGAATGTGCACTTGAGCATCTTGAGCATCTATCAAAGCAGTGCACGCGCGCTCTTCACTTCTTCTGAAATAGCTGTCAGAGAGTATAGTGCGGTAACTGTGGTGCCGCGCAAAAGCAGTTAAGCTGAGTTAACCGCGGTTCAAGTTAACCGCGGTTCAAGGGTATTATACCCTTGTTACACGGGCACACTTAACTGCAGTTACGCTAAACCACAATTAGCGCACAATACTTGCCGACAACATTCTGCGGCAATGCAGCCAGAGCTATGGGCGAGCGTGCGCTTGAGCATCTTGAGCACCCATCAAAGCAGTGCACGCGCTCTCTTCACTTCTTTTGAAATAGCTGTCCGAGGGTATAGTGCGGCGTCTGTGCTGCCACGTAACCGCAGTTAAAGCTGAGTTAACCGCGGTTAAGTGTGCCCGTGTTATACCCTTGTTACACGGGCACATTTAACTGCAGTTACGCTAAGCCATGGATAGCGCACACTACTTGCGGACAACCTTCTGCGGCTATGCAGTCAAAGCTATGGGCGAACGTGCCCTTGAGCATCTTGAGCATCTATCGAAGCAGTGCGCGCGCGCTCTTCACTTCTTCTGAAATAGCTGTCAGAGAGTATAGTGCGGTATCTGTGGTGCCGCGAAACAGCAGTTTAGTTGAGTTAACCGCGGTTAAGTGTGCCCGTGTAATACCCTTGTTACACGGGCACATTTAACTGCAGTTACGCTAAGCCATGGATAGCGCACACTACTTGCGGACAACCTTCTGCGGCTATGCAGTCAAAGCTATGGGCGAACGTGCCCTTGAGCATCTTGAGCATCTATCGAAGCAGTGCGCGCGCGCTCTTCACTTCTTCCGAAATAGCTGTCAGAGAGTATAGTGCGGTATCTGTGGTGCCGCGAAACAGCAGTTTAGTTGAGTTAACCGCGGTTAAGTGTGCCCGTGTAACAGGGGTATAACAGGGGTATAACAGGGGTATTATACCCTTGTTACACGGGCACACTTAACTGCAGTTACGCTAAGCCACAGTTAGTGCACAATACTTGCCGACAACATTCTACGGCTGTGCAGTCAAAGCTATGGTCGAACGTGCGCTTGAGCATCTTGAGCACTTATCAAAGCAGTGCGCGCGCGCTCTTCACTTCTTCCGAAATAGCTGTCCGAGAGTATAGTGTGGTATCTGTGGTGCCGTGCAACAGCAGTTAAGCTGAGTTAACCGCGGTTAAGTGTGCCCGTGTAACAGGGGTATTACACGGGTAAAATTAACCTCAGTTAAGCCACCCTAGGTTATGCTCAACCACAGTTATCACACTATACTTTCGGGCAGTTATTTTTCGGAAATCAAATGTGCGCGCGTGCAGCGTCGATAGGCGCCCAAGATGCGCAAGCGCACTTGCGCATCTCGTTGGCGTTGTCAAGGATGGAATCCCCAGAATGTTGTCATCGAGCTTGGCGATGTCCGCAGCGACGATATCTGAACGGCTGCCCATGGGGGCCCCCGCAGTGGGCACATAGTGCTCGCGCACAGTGCACGCGAGCACTACGTGAGCGTTCCATTCGGGCTCGTGAGAATGCCTCGACGCGCATTCGGATGATGGTTCGTTCCCGATCGCCGCGATGGCGGGAATATTGCCGCGCGCGCAGCTGGCGAAAGGCAGCGCGGCCGTGGCCCAGCGGTTATCGTATACTTGCCTCCCACGCGAAGAGCCAGGGTTCGATTCCCGGGAGCGACGCGTCTGTCATTTATTATTTCAGTTTAATCTTTTGGTACATTCGAGAACTCTGTTGCTTGTTCGAGGTGCGAATGTTCTAGTCGCCAAACCTTCTAGGTCGAGTGTTTTAGAAGCCGACGCGTGTATGTACATAAGGGGCTACACGTCTCGATCAGTCTCGCCCCAGCGTTCGATCCTGCTTTTACGCCGATTTCGACGCCCGCGACGCTCTGCTGTTCTCTTGTTTCCTTTTTCTCTTGGGCACAAGTTCGCCCCAATAAACGTTTCAGCTTCCTCAGTTATTCTTTGTTTCAGGGTTGGGCAGAAATACTCAAAATTGTATTCGGAAATACAAATACTGGGATACTTTAATATAATACCTAAAATACTGATACTGAAATATATCTGTAAAAGTGTATCGCGATACGTATCGGAAATACATTTTAAAGAGAGGCAAAAAGTATCTGGAAATACAAATACAGGAATACATTTTAGGGAGGGCAGAAATACAAATACAGAAATACTGATACTGCAACACATTTTTCAAATTTATTTGAGACCAAATTAGATGAAGCTTGGAGTTGGAAGTGGAAATTTTTGATCCTGAAAATACTTTCCCGTAGGCTTGGCGCTTTCCCTTGAAGGCAGTGATTTCGGACGTCGAGGAGTCTTCAATGGGCTCAGAAAAACGTTCCATCAAGGACCGACCGTGGTCCCTTCCCTGGCATCCTGTCTGTCTCGTGAGGGATGCGAAAAGACTTCGACCTCTAAATAAATTTTCTGTCATCCTAAATCCCATCAAAACGTCACCACGCCCCCGTCAAATAAGGACGCCCCTGTCAACATTTATCACAGGACGTCATGGTAGAATGAACTGGTATTCTTTATCTGTAGGTGTGGCCTTGAACATGAAACTTTAACACGATGCTGTATGAAAGGACAATATGTAATTTCGCTGTAGGTTGCCTCGTTGAAGATCGTGGAGTATTTTCGAGAATGGTGGACCACCTGAAACATCCTGGAACACATGTCTTATCTTCTGTTACGGTGAAAAAAAAACGATACGGTGGCATCCCTGTTGTGAAGCTGCTTTCTGCTGACCTTCTGCCACCGACGCATGGATTGCAGTCATCAAGTTTCGCCTTGCATACTCCAAATAGAGACCTCATGGATTGCGACCTGATATTGCCGGCAGAGGTGCGGGCTCTCCGAGAAGCAGCGCTCTCGAGACGAGTCGCAGGTGCACGAAGTCTGACTCGGCACAGCGAGGCCACGTCTGACCTTCTTTTTGGGTTTCGGATCACCAGAGCAGCGGGTCACTTTCACGTCGGCTGGGACGTTCCCCTTGAGTCGTGCAATATTACGGGCGCAGCCGCAGACGCATTCAAATAAAAATTGGGTTATGGAGATATTTATACAGCGTGTAGTTGGTCAGCCATTAAAGTTGCGACAAGTCACACGCTGTAGATGAGCAATTTAGCCAGTGCAGTACAACCGCTAGCCTGGGGTCTTTAACGTGCACCACGCGGTAGTGATACACGACCGCACGGCGGTACGAAGCTCATCCAGATCGAAACGGGCAGGGGTGGACTCGAACCCAGGATTCCTGGGTTCTGCAGCGCGAGCTTTCGCTCCACGCGCGTCGTGCTGGGTGTGCGCTGTAGCCCACTGGGCCACCGATCCACCTCGCATTCAAATATCTGTTGAACTTCATTACGCGAGTTATCCTACTATATCAAGTCAACCACCGCCAGGCTCGTGCTGCAACGGATTGTGAC